ATATATATATATATATATATATATATATGTATTTATTTATTGATTAATAGATAAAACCAGGTGACCACCTTTAATCACCGGCCGAATGGTTGTGGTAAGAGCTCTCTCTTCCGTATCATTTCCGGTCTCTGGCCCGTTTATGATGGAACTCTCGTCAGACCAGCCGAAAGAAATTCTGCTGAGCATGGCAGACCCGCTCTATTTTATATCCCACAGAAACCCTATATGACAGTGGGTTGTCTTCGAGATCAAATCATCTATCCAGCGCACTCTAGGTTAAAAATTAAATAATTGAAAGTAGATTTAAATTAAATTATTTAATTTAATTAATTAAATTATTATTAATTATTATTTAATTAAATATTTAATTAATTAAATTGAAATAATTGAGATTATACGATTTAGCACAATCAGTTACATTTTTTTTGTACCTATTTTGCAATGTATTTTATACTTTTTATAATTTTTATATATTTTTATATATACAATTTAATTTTATATTAAAATATGAATAGAAAAGAATTCATTAAATATATATTATAGATCAGAAAATTGCTCAGATGACGAGCTATTACAATTATTAGATGATGTGGATCTACGAAGTATTGTAGAACGAGAACCGGAAGGTTTTGATGCTCTCGGTGATTGGGATTCCACTCTATCGGGTGGTGAGAAACAACGACTTGCGATGACACGACTTTTTTATCACGCTCCACAATACGCTTTGTTAGACGAATGCACAAGTGCTGTCAGTCTCGAAGCAGAAGGAATAATATACGAAACCGCGAAGAAAAAAGGAATCACTTTGTTGACCATCACTCATCGAGTGGCGTCGCTCGCTAAATACCATAAATTATTATTGAGATTCGATGGAGAAGGTGATTGGACCTTCGGTCCATTAGATATAAATGGATTACCGACACAATTAAATCAGGAAGCTAACAAAAAAGAAATAGAGCAAGAAAAGGCGAAGACTGGCCACTATCACATGTTGCATGTATGTAGAATACTTTATCTGTGAATGGCGCTTATGGTGCTACATATTTATGTATAACTTCTATTTTGAGAATATTTTAAATTTATATTTATAAAAAGAGATTATATAGCAAAACAAAATTACACAATTTAAATTTTTACAATTTTTATTTTTCTAAAATTTAATTTCATTTTATAATAATTTGTGTATTTTAAATTTATATATATATATATATATATATAGAGCATAGTT